GGAGGTGCTGTCACTCAGCCTGCCAGAGTCAGCCTGCTCACTGGTTCCGTGGAAGCCACTGTCACTTGTCACAGTAAGTCTGCCTGGATGGACTGGTGACAGTGAGGTCCATGGAAGGTACTCACAGGCACGGCACAAGCTGTCCCGCACCGGCTGCTTCTTCCTCTCACTCCAGGCTCCCCCTGTGACTCTCCCAATGTTGCTGGGAGAAGCAGCATATAGCACCCACAGTGGCCTTCACCACGTTGCCCGTGCTCCCTGAGGCCCGGCTGTCCCTGTGGTTGAGTAGTGGCCATGTGACCCCTTCCACAGGTGGGTTTTGACTGAAGCCATGTGAGCAGGGTCAGTGCCTCACCAGTTACAGGCCCCCGGGCTCCTTATCCTCTTCTTTGTGACTGGTGATATCAAAGTGGCATCTGCTCCATTGGTCTACACAGGGAAAAGGGGACACAGGCAAAGTCCCTGCTGACCTACAGCGATGTGAGGCCTGATGAAAACATAAACTGTTGAGTGTGGGGTTGAGGGAGATGTTTGCCATGTAGCCAGATAGCTCCTGACTGATGCATATCTTGGGCAACAAAGCTAAACCAATGGAATGCAAGTCTCCACAGCCTACTTGGTTTATTTATCAGCAATAATGGAGAAAGATTAGGACTCAGGAGGAAGCAACTGCAGTAATGAGGAGACAAGTGTGTCCAAGGCAAAGTGCTTAGAAAAGCATTCAGCCTACAAAGAATTGCTGGCATTGCCAATGGCTTTCTTCTTCTTTCCAGGCTTTGACAGAAGGTGACCCCCAGCCCAGAGCAACCCCATCCTCCCCACTCAACCTCGCCAAGGAGACCTACCAGATGTGGTCCTCTCTAGAGGAGGGCAGTAAAACAAGCCAGTCAGTTTGTCCTACATTTTTAGTTATTCCTTAGCCTTTCCAGCAGCGTCTGCTTGTCCTCTGAACAGCAATGATAGGGAGAAGAGGAGGAAGAGGCTCAATGGCCAAGCCCCCAGGGTGCAGGCTCTGGGCACAGCACACCCATTTTGGCCACCTGGGTGTTTCTGTGCATCCACCAATACCTTTGAAGTGCTTGAAGGTGCCAGGGTTCAAGAGTAAGGGACAATACAGACCCTGGATTTTAGAGCTATAACAGTTAATCAGGGGCTGGGGTGTAGCTCCGTAGCAAGTGCAGAAGATGCCCCGGGAGAGGAGATAGAATTCACCATGCATCCCTGCTTGTCCTTTTGGCCTAGGTCAGTTTGAATGGGAGGATCAAGACACCTCTTGTGTCTCTGGGCACTGGGTGCACATGGGACATGGTACCGGTTCCAAGCACAGCCCGGAAGCTGGCCAGTGGCTGATGTCTGGGCACATAGTCCTGAGACAACTTCTCAGAACTTTCCAGAGCATGGTGGGGCATCAGCTGGCCCCGGCAGGCACCTGAGTGGCTTGGACAGTCCCATGGAGCTTTCTGAATGATGCTAACTTCCAAGCATTCAAGAAAAGAACCAAAGGTACAAGAGAGTCACTCAACCTGAGGTGTTACTCACCAGTGACACAGTGACCAAAGGCATGAAGGGATGGGCTCTCAGAGAAGGCTGTGATAGACAGGCGGGGACAGAGGACATGCATACACCTCCTACCACTATGTGAATGTCTGAGAACTAAGATGCAACCTCACGTTTATAGATGGTATAGTCTAGCCTGCAGTGACCAAGGTTTAGTTTTCCTGCCTCCCTGGAGAAGAGGAGCTTAAAACACCTGCTGAATGGCCTGAAAATAAGGAAGGCTGCCTGCCTCTATGGGTGGAGTTAACGAAGCTTCAGGACCCCAGGAGCAGCCTCCAGGGGAGGCCGGTCTCCACCCTCCTGCTGGCAGAGGGTGGAGGCAGTAAGTGAAGATCAAGCCCCCCTGGGTGGGGTGGGCAGCTCTACCTCCTCCTGCTGGTGGGAAGACATTTTTAAACTATGTGTTTGTCACCTCCCTATTATGCAATCCTGTACAGCATGATGACATTCATTAACACCGTGTCAATGAAGCTCACCCAGCGGCCATGGGCTCCACACGCAGCCACCACCTCAGCTGACCCAGGAGGCTATGGAATGGCCGCCTTGCTCTGTTCATGGAAATGTCATTTAATATTTTTTTTTTTTTGCTCCAAGATTCAAGTTCTGGGCAAAGCATCAAAGCTGTGGTTGTGTTTATACAAGGAATATAAATATTAATAAGCCAGAGAGAGAAGGTGGCCAGCAGCAGGTGGGAGGGAGCCTAGGTGCACAGGAAAGAGCAGGGATGTTGGCAGGCGAGAGTATTGTAGGACAAGAGGTGGCTGGAAGCCTGGCGTTTTAGGAGGACAGGAAAGGCCCAGTAGAAGGGTCAGTGGAGGTGATCTTGCCCCCAGCACCCTTGCAGAGCTGGGTGGAAACTGGAGATACCCTGGAGGGGGAAAACCCCATCTTTCACGGGAGAGTGGGTGGACATCTTGGGACGTCCACAAACGTGGAAGTGGCATCCTCAGCTCATCATTCCACCCAGAGGAGAGCCCCGGGGAACTGAGAGCTTCCGAGTTTCAACACCCAGGCTCCAGAAGCAGGAGGTGGGTCCAAAGAGGCACGAACTGGAGCCTGATTTCCCCTGGGCCTCGAGGAGTTGCCGTGACACTGGACCAACTCAGATGTGTTTGTCCTAAGTAGGGAGGGCGGGGGCTGACAGCAGTCCTGCTCAGCTTGACAGGGATGGGCATTCTTGGAAGCCAAATATGGGTTATTTTTAAAAATATAAAACATTTTAACATTTCTAAACCATGAAATACCATAAACATTACAGAACCATTGCCAGCTCTCTGTTTCTACCTCTCCTGCTTCTCCTGTGTGTATTTATTTTGGGTGCTATGGACCCGCATCCCAAATGTACTCATTTTCCGTGGAGGAAGAGCTATATCTTCTGTGGTACTTTTCTTTCCTATACTACAGTGTAAATTTTAGAGTCTGATTTGAAATGATCGTCTCCTTCATGGACGGTGACATTTGGTGCTCTGGGGAGGCCCTCCCAGCACGTACCTCTCAGGTCTGTGCTCAGGGCAACCTGGAGTGACAAGACAGACTTCCAGGACCTGAGTGTGACTTAGGTCTCTGCCGGTTCCTAGTTTTGCTGTGAACATTGTTGGGCGAGATTCCTCCCTAAGCACTGTGCGCCCTTAGATCTCATGAAGAGAGGTGTTTTGATGCACGCAGACCTCCATGCTCACTGCTGGGGCATAGGAGCTCCTGGTTTAGCCTGTCCCCAGGCACGCTGTGCCCTGGGGTTGGCATTTGTGTGTTGTGTATGGGGTGAGTCCTGCCATGGTCTTGCCAGCATCTCCCTGGTGTGATGAGTGAGCACCGCTCTGCCTCCTGCTTGTCCACCTGCCGTCTTCTTGGTGAAGTGTCTGCTCAAGTTTTTTATCATCATCTTCTTTTGCTTCTGCATGATAGGTATTTTTAATCTATCTGTTTTTTTTCATGTCAGTGTGTTTGAAAACAATTATATATTATGATTAATGAAAGTAATAGTGTTTTTGTGATACACGAGGTCGGATTCCTTCTTTTATGCCTCTTGGCCACTTGTGTGTCGTCATATAAAACTTGACATCTGTGTCCTCTGTCTCTGTGCCTGTAGAGGTGGACAGGGCAGATGCAATGGGCACCATGGTGCAGGGCTACAGGTGGCATGTGGCTTCATTTTACAATGTCCTTGCACCCAGGACCAAAAGAACTCGGTAAGATGCCAGAGCCCCAACTCTGTGCAAAGTGCTTTGACGATTTTCTCATGTACCATCCCTTCACCTGTTGTGACACTGGACTTCTCCTCATTGATTTACAAGTGTGTGCTCTGTACACGGAACGTCTTGTCATTCTGGGGAGTGTTCCCTGGGGATTCAGGACTGGACTCTGTCTTTGGGGTCTGCTTGCTTGGATGCTCCTTAATGAACACAGTGCATCTCAGGTGGAGCCTGAAGCCCACATCAACCTGATGGCTCCTGCATTGGTGGATCCCCAATAGCTGTGTTTCCCTGGTGACAATAATAACCTCATACAACAGCAGAAATGGAAATGCAAGTGAACAGGACTTCATGGGGCTCTTTACATAATAGAAGACAGCAGAGACCCAAATGAAGAAAGAACAGATCCCCTGGGTCTAGGCTCTGTCCCTCCTTGAAGTGTGTGTATAAATATCATAGAAGGAAGTGTGAAGTTGGAAATGGAAATAGATACCGAACACAAAGTAGCCCACTATCCAGGCTGCTGAACAATCTAAACATTTCTGAATAATATTATCAAAGGTTGGCAGGAGAAAGCAAGAGGCTCTTGCCACCTCTTCCTGCCAGCCCAGGCCTCTGTGCCTGCCACATGCATCCAAGAGCTCCAAGTACAGGAGTGGCTGCCTGAGGGGGCCTGCAGACCCCGAGGTTGGGGGGCCAGCCTGGGCTGGAAGATAAGCCTGGCACATGTGGCTGCAGGGGCAGACCCAGGACGGGTCCTTCACACACGTGGACCCAGGCAGGCCAGGCCTTCTCTGAGCCTGACTTCCTCATTTGTGAAGCTGGGGAGGATGCCGGCAGAGGTAGAGCGTTCCTTGTCTGAAACGCTTGGGATCAGAAGTGTTTCTCTTTGGATTTTGGAGGATTTTGGTATTGTTGGAATAGTTACATAGACTTTATGGCTGAACATCCCTAATCCACAGATCCACAATTAGAAATGCTCATGGTGTCCACCCCAGAAACCAGCAGATGATGTAGTGGATCCCAGGGCAGGGAAGAAGGAGGGAGAGACAGGAAAAGCCTGTGTCATCTGGCTGTGATTGACAACGGGTCCTTGCTGGTCCTTGCAATGATGAATGCTTTGCACCAATGGATGACATTAATAATGGTTCAACTAAATGGGGGTGCATGGAACTTTCTAGTGTTCTCACAATTTTCTATAAATAACACTATAAGGGGCTGGGGATGTGATTCAAGTGGTAGCGCGCTCACCTGGCATGCGTGCGGCCCAGGTTCGATCCTCAGCACCACATACAAACAGAGATGTTGTGCCCGCCAATAACTAAAAACAAATAAATAAATATTAAAATTCTCTCTCTCTCTCCCTCCTTCCCTCCCTCCCTCCCTCTCTCTCTCTTTAAAAAAAAACACTATAAAATTATTATGAAATGATTTAAGTCATGTAAGTAACCTCAGGAGACTTTTTTATGTTGTTTTTAAGGTTTCAATCACATTATTGGCTCATGATTTTTTTGTAATGGTTTTAATAATACACAAATTTAAGTCTGTGTATTACCCTCTGAAGACCTTCTTGGATACACACCCCACATGTTTGATAGAAGTTGTTATCATTTGTGTTATATTATAAAGGGTGCACGGTGGAAAACACTGCTAGTTAAATAGGAGGTGCTCAGCTTAGGCATTCACTGAAAAAAATTAAAACAAGCACAGAAAATTAACAACATGAAAATGTGAAAAAGCAAGAACGCTTTATCTTATACCCACGGCTACTTGAAATTAGGAGAACCAGTCTTTCTGCAATCTTTGACACCTCTGCCTCCAGAATGCATGTCCCTAAGTATAAATGTCACCTGCTGCCTGCCTGGGTGATGTGGAGGCCCTGCGGGGAGGGGAGGAGGTCAGCTCCTCCCTGCAGGGGGCAGCCCTGGAGACAGTCCTGGTGCCTATAGATCCCTGGACCACACTGCAAATGCTGAGTAGGCACCTGCCACCTCCATGCACCAGGTGAGAGGCTGAGAGAAAGCACAAGTGAGCGGCCAACACCCTGCTCTCCTTGCAGAAAAACACGGACAGTTCATAGGAAATTGATACTTCTAGCAAACATAAAGGTGCAGAAGAGACACTGTGCCCGGGCACCACTGTTTCTGCCCAGAACCTAGTTCCTGAATGTCCCTTCTACTGCTCTTTGGGGACCCACCCCTCCCCACACTTCATTCTTGTGGACTTACCAGGCTTGTGACAGAGGTCTTCTAACCCTGAGGACACAGTGATTGGATTCAGAAATGGGACTGTGACTCCGGATGGCCAGGAAGCTCCATTTCTGGATTTATCTGCAGTTATGCAGAAATAGGATGTTCTTTCCGCTTGGTTTGCAAAGTCAGCGGGAGATAACCCTGACCAGCCTGGAGTTGTCAGAAGCCAGCATTTGGAGAGAACTTGGAAATAAACCAACAGAGAGACAAGCAGGTCCCAGAGATGGAGTGGATGAGAGAGAGAGAGAGAGAGAGAGAGAGAGAGAGAGAGAGAGAGAGAGAGAGAGAGAGAGAGAGAGAGCGCGCAAGAGCGAACCCTGTTTTCATTGAGCTTCTGGACCCAGCCATTCCTGCAACCAACTAGGACTTTATAAAGCCAGCTGGCATCAGCTTGCAAATGCTGGTGTGACCGACAAGCACAACCTCACAGCTTAAAACCACATGGACATGGCTTGAGATTCTGGGGGGCCAGAAGTCAGGTCAGTTTTGGGCTCAAGTCTGGACAGTGCAGGCTGCTTCCCCTCAGCAGCCAAAGGGGAGCATCTATGTCTTGGCTCTTCTGCTTCCAAATGTCCTTGGTTGTGGCCCCTCCCCCACCTTCAGAGCACTTCACTCTGGCCTCAGCTTGCACCCTGGCCCCTCCTTTACTTTGTATTTTAAGTGGACACTCCTGTGTCCTCCCCTCAGGACCCTGTGGTTACACTGGGTCCACCCAGATCTTCCAAGCCAGCTTCCCCCTGCTGAGGGATTTAACTTGATCCTATCTGCACAGTCTTCCTGGCATCCTCTCAGATACCAGAAAGTGGGCTGAGGTCATGTTTGGGCAGCCTTGACTCTGACTGTCCCACTATTCATGCCCCCCCCCTTTTTTTTCCTTCTGGTATGAAGGTGGTTTAGTTTCCTTGTGCACAACAACAACAACAAAATAGTGACACAAGGTTTTAGAGAAAGAAGTCGCTGAAACAGTGCTGAGCCAGGGAGGTCTTTATAGAAGAGCTGGCCCTGAGCTGAATGAAGTGTGCAGGAAAGTAGGAGAGCGGACACATGAGCGAGGATGTGGCGGTGGAAGCTCCACTTAGCTAGGACCTACACTTACTCTGGGGTTCACTGGGATTCAGGCCTCCTGGAACCCTCTGTATGGATGGAGCTTGTCTTCCTCTCACACCTACCCTGCTCCAAACACTAATTTAAGCCAGCACTCTTTGCTTGGGGGCCTCTGAAAGAGCCGCACTCCTGATGCTTGGCTTCGGACTATCGGTCCTTCAATGCCTCTGACTCCTCCATGCTGGAATCCTCCAGAGCCATCCTCCAGGTGGCCAGGAGTGAGCAGGGTGATGCACAGCTGACCCTGTCTTGCTGTCAACACTGGCATAAGGGAGAAGGTTGAGGATGGAGGGGAGGACTCGGGCCTCTAGGGACAAATGGCTGTCAATAAATATCAGGGATCTAAACTCAGTCCCCAGGCACACGGAAGAATGGGCTGCTTAATATTCCGAAAGAGCCACCCATTCAGGAGGTTCTGGGAAAAACCTTCTCTTACAAATGCATAATCATCACAGGCCCCTTCAAAGCAAGGATAGAAGGGACTGATCCACTAATGGACAGTGGGTACCAGACAGCAATGAGCCCTGAACAGAGTGCATCACAGAGACCAGGGTCAGCATTGGGGGGCATCTGGTGCTCTAAACTAGGTCTTTGCTCACCTTGAGTGTGTGCGTGTGTGTATGCCTGTGTAGACTCATGCTCACCCATTTGATACCACCTTGTGTGTGCCTGTCATTCCATGCTGATGTCATTTTCTTCTGCAGGAAATACAGGATAAATTGACAAGGAACATTTCCTACTTGAAAGACAGAGCTTGTCTCAGGGTTTAGTGTCTCCTGGGTATTTCTAGAAAGTGTGTTCTTAACACAAAATGCTCTTGAAGAGACACAGTCTGTCACTTTCTGAAGTTACATTCTTCTTGCCTTGGGTCCCTTCTGGGGGTTTGGAAACAAAGCTGCATTTCCCACGGGAATCTGCTCCTACCCTACCTGAAATTTCAACACCTCCCTTGGAGGGGGGTTCACAAGATGCGTACCTGGCCAATCAGCATGAGCCATGCCGTTGGCCGCAGTGACTGGCTGGAACGCTCATGCGACCTGGTCACGTGCCCCAAGGGGGCTTTATGCACTGGAGATTCTGTGTGTCCCTTGCTGTAGCCTGAACAGGCTTGTGGATGAGCTTGCCCCCTCCCACACAGGATTTCCCAGAGCCTCCAGGTGCACAGAGGAGGCACTCAAAGTGACCATGTGCACATCTGAAGCAGGTATGCTGGGCTCCTGGGATGGTGGGAGCTGGCCTGGGCCAGATGGGCAGGGAGTACCAACGTGATGCCACTTCCTCTAAGGACCCTGTGCACCCCACTCCTGGCTCAGGCCTTGAGTGTCTTATCAAGTTACAGCCCTGGCTTGACCATTTCCCACAAGCAGGCCTGGCTTGCGAGGTATGCTCACAAGGTAGTGTCACCGTGTGGGCAGTCACCCACTGGCAGTGCTGGCCCAGACACATGGCCACCTGAGCTATTCAATCAGCTATTCAATCTGCTGGAGGTTGGGAGTCAGAAAGGCTCACAGACTAAATTAAGATGCTCAGATTGCAGGTCTTGTTAAAAACCTATAGCAGGAGGCGAGGAGAGCACCACAGGGTCACTTGAATGTCCCCACAGCCTTGCTCAACTCAGGAGCAGACATCCAGGTGCCCATCACCTCATGAACCAGGACTAAAGGATGATTGTGTCCATATGACAGAGTGACATTCCACAGTCAAAGAAGGCAGCACTGGCAAGCTCTGGCAGGGGTGAGTTACAGGTCCCCAAGGCTGTGACAGAAGCCATGCAGGGTGTGACTGAGAGGGGATGCCCAGAGCAGCCAAATTCATAAATATAGAAGATAGAACAACAGTGTCCAGGCTGGAGGGATTGTGGGAAATGAGAGTGACTCACGCAGGGAGTGACCAGTGTGCCTTATAGTCACATGATGGTGCTGCTTGCCGTTCTGTGAATGTGCCAAATCCCTGGATCCTGCACGGCCAGTGGCCACTACTGGGGAACCAGAGGGTACGTCCACAAGGATGCCCTTATAAGAAAGCAAGAAAGAGAGAAGGTTGACATGCTGGGACGGGATGCAAGGGAGGGCCCGCCTGCCTTGGTGTTGAGCAAGGGGCACAGCAGAGGAGAGGGTTCGGGTGAGGGGACACGAGCTATTATGTGGCCGTGGCTTCCTGTGTTCTAGGAGTTTCATAGATGGACATGTTTTTTCTCAGGTATTCGGCAGTGTGCATTTTGGTTGTGTATTCAGAGTGTCACAAATACCAGCATCCATTGTGCCCTTGAGGGTTTGGCCTCTGCTCTCCACCACCATCTGAGCTGCATGCATGGTGATCACCTGCGCTGCCTGTGGGACACACCCACCCCACTTCCCTCCCTCCTCCTCCTCTGTTTATCTCTCTCATTTTCCACATCAGAGTTGAAAAGTCTCACACAGCACAGCCAACACAAGCTGCCACTGCTCCTTCCTGAGCCTCAGGTGGGTCTGCAGGTGTCTCTCTGATGGAGGGACATTCTGTGCATCTAGAAGAGAAGGTGACCCCTGCCCCTGTCCCTTCTGTTGAAGAAGCCTCAATATCCTTCATCCCTCTCTGTTGATTCTCCCTGAAACTGGAGAGTGGCTAGTGGCCCAAGGGAAACTGTGTCCTTCAAATGACACCTGCCAAATGTGACTTCTTCACTGAAGGAAGCCCCACAGATTTCATGGAGCTTCCTAGGAGATCAGGGTCCGGCCATGTGGGCATCTTCTGGCTGGTTCTCTGACATCGCTGTCGCTAGGTGTCCCTTAGCTTCCAACATGAGACACCAGGCTCTGAGGTGACTGAGGGTCCAATTTGCGGGGTAGGCTTTAATGGAGCTGGGTTATCTGAAAAGTGTTGAAACTGGAGTATGGCCAGGCAATGACTTCACACCTCCCAATCCTAGGTTTAACTCCCTTGCCAGTCCAAATACGCTGCATGAAAGTCAGCCAGCTAAACACATCTCCCTTAGCACAGGCAAGTAAAAAGGCAGTGTCCAGCCTTTCCCTGGATTTCAGCATTTTAAAGACTTCCTTTTAACTCACTGCTACTGTTACCATGAATGATAAAGATCTCCATCCCAAAAGTGTGGTAAAAGTTCTGTTCTGCACTGTTCTGTCACATCCATATTAAGACCATATTATTCTTGATCTGACACACAAACTACCTAGGGGATGCAGCAGTCTGCCAATGGGAAATTTTCTCTTTTCAAAGTTCAAGGGTATTTTCAAATTAAATATATCATAAAATGAACATGCATATTTTATTTCCACTTAAATACCTACGGACTTCAGGATTTACTTTGAATAAGATATCTGTGATCACCCTCAGTGATGGACAGCTAGTAAAGGGATTTGGTGACACCTGTTTTTGTATCTAGTGGCACTTCCCCCATAGCTATTTATAGTATTCAAAGTGACAAACCTGATTCAGCACAATGCTAAAAAACATGTATTTGCCAATTGCCCCTTGAAATCAATAATTTGGTTTTTCAGGTACTTTCAAAGGAATAAGAAGTATAAGGAAATGCCTAGTCTGAATAGTTCTCTAGTAGGCCCTCTTTTCTCTCGAGATGTGATAGTTTCCTTTTACATGTGGGCTCCATGGAGAACCTCAGGAGGAGAGACGAGTATTTGATCTTAGTAATACAACCAGACTCTGAGATAATCATCTAAGCTGTGAGAGATGGCCACAGCAGCTCGCTAAGGTGCCCCTCAAGCACGAGCTGGCCTTTCTGAGCTCATTCCCTGCAAAGAAAAGCCTCAACACTCACAGTCAGATTAAGCACATTCAAATGAAAAGCACAGTTGCCTCTGTTCTTCTGTTATCATTTTCTGGGGAGAAATAAATATTCATCAATATTTTTGCCTTCACAATCTGAAAAGGTACTGTATCCTCAGACTCAGATTATCGCAGTCTGATTGTATTACTTAAACCAAAGTTTTTTCTCTCCTCCAAACGTTCTTCAGAATGTCCACATGTAAAAGGAAATTATCATACCTTGGGCTAAGAACCAATAGCCACTCTCCAAGAACAAGAGATTGCTATTATTAAAGCAATCTCTCTGTCTGATAGAGGGAGGCACACATTCCAGATGCCCCAACCTCTGGTCATTCAAGAATGTGCCTCCCCGCCCCACCCTTCAGTGTCCATCCCTTGAGCAGACAGGAGTGGATGGAGAAGTTGAGAGGGTACAGTATACACAGACATACACAAAAATGCACACATGTGTACACACACATGAACCTCTGAACCTCCCTCCCATCAATTTGGCAATCCTCTCCCCAGGCAGCTGGGTAAAGACCCTCCAAACCATGTTTAGCATGCCCTCTGCTGGCTTGGCAGGAGCTGACTCAGCCTTTATTCTGTGTGCCTAAGACATAATAAATTACCTTAAGATCCAGAAGGAAAGGGAGGGGAAAAAAAAGGCAAGAAAATCTTAGCTTCTTAGAAATGGAAGACATGATACCCTACACATAAAAGTAAGATGAAGAGGCTTTCAAGTTATTGTTTTTAAAATGTTTTAGGAAATAAGTGACTAAAGATTTAGTAGAAACACATTTATATTTTCACAATTACTACAGTGAATTAAAAATAAAGCCTATGGTGAATATTTTCACAGGTTTACAGGTGGGAAAAAATGAATTGATGGGACACACTGGTTTCACAGACTCAATTTTCTAAGAGTTCACTGTTCAGAGTCCTACAAACCACTCTTCTCACAATTGAGGATACTTTAATTACAGAAGAAATGCAGTCTTAAGAGCTCAAGTTCTAAAGCAACTATGTGCAGCAGGAGAAAAACTGTGGAAAAGCAGTTCATTTGGAACCAGTTCTACTACAAGGCTTACAAGACCCTCACCCAGGCATAAACAAAGGTGCTTGCTCAGAAGAAGGTGGCCCTCTCTTCCTCTACTAGGGCTAAAGGCCTCAGGAATTACTAAAGGAACATCTGCCACTCAAGATCCAGACTTTGGTGAGACTGCATCTGGCAAGAAAGCAAAAATTTCCCCCCCACTGTTACCCCAAATACCTAGGGCCTAAAGTAAACCACTGCTTTCAATGCCCCCACCACACCTATCCAGGGTTCAAAAGCTTCATGTTTGTAAACAGCTTCAAACTTTTTTGTGCACGAGTGGCATATGGTATTAAATTCCTTGCAGATCCAATATGAGCACGCTATAATTTAAGGCATCCTTGTTTTAACCAATTAGGATCTGCCATTAATTATTAAATACAAAAATGATAATACTTTTGTCCTTTATTGGATATCCTTTTGATACAACTGTCTTAAGTAGACATTTAGATTGTCCTGGGAACTTGCTTACTTTTATTTCCATAGGAGTTGTTCCCTGGGAACTTCCACAATAAAATAATGGTGTATTGCTGGCATTTAGGGAGGAATTTTCCCTAGAACTTGGTGTGCCATACAGATCTCCAGTCTCTGCAGTCCCTGGACCCTCTCCGGATGTAGAAGAGGTCTTGGAGCTCGCAGGAACACATAGCTGCTAGGAGGACCCTAGTGAGGCTGGCACTCTTTGCCCCAGGGCAGCTCTTTTCCAGACACACCCTGATAGGGAGGGATGGAGAAGATCTGCAGATTTTCCCCAAAGAATCAAGGCGTGCAAAAATTTAGGCCCCAATGTCCACCTTTACCTGGACACATAATCTGTTTCATTAAACAGAATATCTTTTAAAATTGTTCCTCTCACAGCTCACGTTCATTTACAAAAATAAAGGTAAGCACAAGCATGTCCTGTCATACATGACTTTCCCCTATATCTGTGGGCTGTGGAGGAAGTCATTCCCAGATCTGTTGGAATCTAACAAGTTTCCCTTCAGCCATTCTAAATCTATCTATTAATTTTCAAGCCAATGGCTAAAAATAAACACTGTGAGGTTTTGAGATAACAGAACAGAGGCAAATCTGCTTTGAAGATCCTCAAATAACTTGCACTAGGCAGGAGGAGGGTACACTTGAACGGTTGTGTCCAATGAAGGAAAGTTTTAGTTAATGATGACATCACTGACATCACCCAAATTTAAAAAAGCACTTAAAGCACAGCAGATGCAATTTTTTTCTCCTCCAGTGAGGAGATACTAGGGAAGGCCTCCGGGTTCACAGACAAACTGCATCAATGATTCGACTGCTGTCCAGCTAGAAGACAGCGAATAAGCTGTGGCCCACGCAACCACAGCCCTGGTGCCGGTCTAGCGGCCTCGCGCGCTGTTCTGGCCCGGCCCTGCCGGAGCGTCGGTGGGCGCCACAGGACCCCCGACGCGTCCACACGGACGGAGGGGTCGGTCAGCCCAAGCCTGACAACACGTTCCAGTGCAGAAGGTGAAAGGGCCAGGAGAAGAGAACAGCCCCGACCCAGTGGGGCCGGAGCCGGTGTCCACGGCGTCCACTGGGTCCGGAGCAGAGCCCGCAATGCAGACGCGCTGGCAAACCCAGCACGTCGCCCGCGCCCCCAGGGTCCCGCACTCTGGCCCCGCGACCACCGGCCTCAGCGCCCACCTGGCTCACCGCGGAGCCCAGGAAGGATCCCCCGCCGGCGCGCGGACAGCGCACCTGCCTAGTCTGCGGCCAGGCCCCGCCGCTAGCCGGCAGCACCGTGGCCAGCGCCGTCTCACCTGCCGCGCTGCGCTGCTCCGATCGGCCAGCCCGCAGCATTGCAGTCACCTCTACCCGACTTCTATTTTCCCTAGCTTTAAAAGAAAACCATATCAGCTGTTTTGCTCGTGCTCCGGCTCCGAGGCCCCCTCCCCAGCTGCTGCTCCTGGTCCCGGGGGCCTCTCCTCCCCCGCCTCCAGCGCTCCGTTCCGCCCCTCGCGCCCCTCCGCTCTGCCAGAGGCCGCGCGCAGCGCCCGCCTCCCGGCACCGCCCGCAGCCACCCAGCGCGCGCCCTCTCCCTGACGTCATCCGGTCGCAGCCGCGCCCCGACCCCATCCAGCCCGAAAGTGCCTGCCCGCTGCGCCGCACCCGGCCTGCGCCGCACCCCGCCCCCGCCCCCGCCGCGTGGAGCGGTCCTGGAGCGCGCGTGCTCGCTATCACGACACGCGCAGGGGCTCTGAATCTCCAGATTATTCAAGCGCCCCTTCAATCCGCGCCCACGCTCCGACGTTCCCGCTCTTGACCCTCTAGGCGTCCTAATAGCCTGAACTGCACGAAACGCTGCTAGCATAGCTTGCGTTTTCTATCGGCCTCCTGACTTTGCTTCCACCCCTCTATTCCTATGGACTGATTCGCTTTTTCTAAGCATCCCAAACTTTCTCCCATATATCCTGTCTCCCTCCACTTCCCCGCCTGCTCCAGGTCCAAACTATCAAGTCTAATCTGAGCATAGTCCTTTGTCTCCGAACCCGGTTGTCTGACCTTTCTCCCATTTCTTCTTAATACTTTTTCATGCCACTACTTAAGTTAGTTACCTTGACTAATGCCAAGTTCTGCCCTTTGCTCTCTGCCTGCTCTCACATCAACTATTTTGGTGTAACTGCGCCCCCTTATTCCAAATAAGATATTATATTGCAGGTAATTAATACAATCCTGATGCATTTCTTGAAACGTTATTTTACTAGTTTAGGGCTTTAACCTTGACTTTGAACGTTATGTTTGATAATGTTTAGTAATTTGGCTTTCTAAATTAATTTGGGAAAATTGACTTTTTTGGTTTGAAAACCTATGACTTTAAACAGTTGCTTGGATTGGTGTAATCAGCAGCACAATCAGAATATGTCACCCAAAGAACACGCTAGTACTGTTCCTTAATAGCCACACTGTTCCCCAAGCCCTAACCCTTGGAAACCTCTGATATGTTCTCCATGGTTATGTGTTTCTCTTTGTGAGAATTCATATTCATGTAATTAGGCAAGATGTGACAGACAGGAAACGGACTATTCACTCACCATTATGTCTTTGAGATTCATTTGGTCGAATGTGTCAATATTTCTCTTTTACTATCTGATTGTTTGCAGCACATTTAATCTAGTCACCTACTGACAGAGATTTGGTTGGTTCTCTGTTTTTGTCCAGTGTGAATAGATATTCAATAAACATTTGCACGCAGGGTTTTGTACAGAAAAACGTTTTCAAATTAATTGGACTAATGTGTATGCTCACACTCAGACACACACACAAACACAAATAGAGGCTCCAAGATTTACGAAATAGAGGCTCCAAGATTTACGATGGGGTTACACCTAGATAAACTCATTGTAGATTGAAAATTTCATAAGCACAAAATGCATTTAATACACCTAACCTACTGCACCTTATGGGTTAGCAGCACAGTCCACTATAAAGTATCAGGTGTTTACATTTGTGATTTGATAACTGAGGCTTCTGTGGACCAGGACTGTGAGAAGAGTTCTACAAAGAAAAAATTCAAAATTTGAAGTACCATTCCTACTGAATGCATATTTCTTGTGCCATTATAAATAAAATATTAAAAAAATAAGTGGAACCATCATAAGTTTGGTACTGTCTGTGTGGGTAAGTATATGTGTGTGTATATAAAATGTATATAATATCCTGTATATTGCATTTTCATAGACTTGTGCTATAACATTATTATTTTCCTTTATGATTTGTTGAGAATCTTTTCAATTGTATATTTGCCATCTGTTTATCTTTGGGGTGAAGTTTATGTATTTTGCTTATTTTTAATTGGGTTGTTGTTTTCTTATTGTTGAATTTTAAGAGTTCTTTATATATTTTATGTAGAAGTATTGATATGTGCTTTGAAATATTTTCTGCCGAGGTAAGGTTTGTCTTTTAATTTTTTAAGTGTCTTCTACATAGCAGAAGTCTCTAATTTTAATGAAGTCTAACTTAAGACTTTTTTTCATGAATCATACTTTTGGTATTTGTATCTAAAAACATCACCCAAAGTAGGACTACATATAATTAGTTCTGTTTTCTTCTAGAATTCTGTAGTTTTACATTTGTGATCCATTTTCACTTAGTTTTTGTAAAGAGTACAAGGTCTCTGTCTCCTCCTCCTCCTTCCTTCTTTCTATCTCCTCCTCCTTCTCCTCTTCTTTTTCTCTTTATCCTCCTCCTCCCCCTTTCTTCATTATTGTATGTGGTATGTAGAAGTTCAGTTAGTTTAATATTGTTAGTTTAAAAAAACCACTCTTTGTCTACTTAATTGCCCTTGCTCCTTGCCCAAGATCAGTTAACTATATTTGGGGAGTCTATTTCTGAGTTCTCTCTATGTAAGTGTACATATTCTTTGATTATTATAGCACAGTGTCTTGATTACTATAGTATAGTAAGTCTTACAGCTTTCCAACTTCGTACTTCCTCTTCAATATTGCATTGGCTGCTCTAGTCTTTTGCTTTTTCACTTAAATTTTAGTATGAGTTTATACATATCTACAAAATAGCTTTCTGGGATTTGTATTTGCATTCTGTAGAATCTGCACATTGAGTTTGAAAGATTTGACATCTAAACAATTGAGTCCTCCTATCCATGAATATGAAATATATCACCATTTATTTATATCATCCTTGATTTTTCCAGCAACGTTTTATAGTTTTCTACATAACTCCTATACATACTTTTGCATTTTTATGTTGTAAATGGTATTCTTTATTTTAAGTTTCAATTTTTCATTGCTGGAATGTAGAAGAACAATTGATTTTTTTATTAATCTTTAATCTTACGACCTTGCTATACTTCCTTATCAGTTCCAGGATTGCTTTTGTGGGTTATCCACAAAGCATATAATATTTGCTGTCTTCTAATAGAAACAGTTTTCTTTTTTTCCCTTTACAATCAATGGCCATTTTATTTCTTTTTCTTGTTTTACTGGACTAACTAGAACTTCTGGTATCATGTAGAACAGAAATGGTGTAAGGACAATCTTACCTTCTTCCTGACTTTAGGGGGAGAATTCAATTTCTTACCACTAGATATTGCATATCAGCAGGGTTTTTGTAATTTATTTGATCAAGTTGAAGAAGTTCTCCTTTGTTTCCTATTTTGTTGAAAGTTTCTATCATTAGTGAATTTGGGGTTTTGTCACATGTTTTTATCTGCACCTATTGATATGATTATATGATTTTTATTTTGATAATGTGATGGATTGCATTATTTTCCAAATGCATGATCAGATTTATGTACATAAATTCTACTTGTGATTTATAACTGGTTTATACATTGTTGCATTTAGTTTAGTAATATTCTAAGGGCTATTTTAGTCATGAGAGATGTTGTGTAATTCTCCGTTTTTGTAATTTTTTTCTTGTCTCGTTTCTAGATAATGCTGGCATCATAGAATGAATTAAAATGGTCTCTATTTCTATTTTCTATAAGAAATTGTACAGAAATGAACATTTCTTCCTTACATATTTGGTACAATTTGTTAATGAAACCATCTGGGTCTTGTGATTTTTTAGAATGTTATTAACTATTGATTCAATTTTAAATTGGGAATAGAGTTATCTGTTTGTTCTTATGTGCATTTTGGTAGCTGTGTCTTTCATGGAATTGTTGATTTCAACTAAATATTCAGATGTATAAATGTAGACTTTTTCAAAATAATGCTTCATTGTTCTTTAAATGTATACAAAATCTATAGGGTAAACTCCACTTTCATTTCTAACATTGGTAAACTATCTGTCTTTCTTTGTTAGTCTGGATACATTTTTATCAGATTGAATGATATTTTCAAGGAATAAACTTTTGATTTTTTTTCTATTGTCTTCCTGTTTGTAATTTTTTTTGTAATTTTAAGAATTTCTTTTTCATGTTTTAGATTTAAATTGCTCCTTTTCCTGTAATATCCTAGGTGAAAACTTAGATTTTTTGATTTTGTCTTTATTATTTTTCAACATGTGAATTTAACGTTTCCGTTCAAGCTTTCGCTACATACCACAAATTTTGATAAGTTATATTTTCCTTTTCATTTAGTTCAATATATTTTATTTTTTAGGCTTATCCTTTGACTCATTATTACTCAGAAATGTATTGTTTGATATCCAATAATTTGGGATTTTCTAGTTATCTTTCTGTTCTTCGTTTCTACATTAATTCCACTGTGTTCCGAGAGCATATTTTTTGATGTCTATTTTTCTTTGATTTGATATAGTGTGCATATAGTCTATAGTGTGGTCAGTGTTGGTGAATGTTCCATGTGAGCTTGGGAAGATTGTGTATTGTATAATTAGAGATACAAATGTTGATTGCTAGTGTTGTTCAGCTAAACTGTATTCTTTCTGATTTTCTACCACTTGATATACTAATTATTGATAGAAAAATGTTCATGTATCCAACTTTGATAGTGGATTGGTCAATTTCTTCTTTAAGGATTATAATTCAGGTTTATAATGTTTTGATTTATGTGTTTTGGAGATCTTATTAGGTGTATATACATTTAGGATTAATGTGTCTTGAAGAATGGGCTCTTTATCACTCCTCACTTTTATCCCTGATAGATTACCTTCCTCTCAATTGTGTTTTGTTTGAAATAGAGTTGGCTACTAGGTGTTTTGTTTGTTTTTGTTTTCTTTGTTTTTTGTGTTAACATGGTATATCTTTTCTCATACTTTAACTTTTCAGCAATCAGAGATTTTATGTTAGCATGAGCTTCTTTTTCTTTGTCAAATAATTTAATAATATTCCTTTAAAGTTCACTTACCATCATTTTGGCATATATTCTTTTTTAAGTTCATTATAAATATTCATAGTATTGTGATTCATTTTGACATAATTATATAAAGCTAGAACATAATTTGCTCCAGTTTAGTTCCCAGTACTTCCCCTTTCCCTCCCCCCAACTCCCCCTTGTTGTTCCTCTACTCTACTGATTTTTCTCCTATTTATTTATAGTTTTCTAAATTAGT